TGGACCAACCATGGGTGTTCAAGAGGAAACCACACACCTGGCAGACAGCTGATCTGGACAAATGGCCCAAAGCACGACTTTGTGCTGTAGGTTAGTATGCCTGCTTTCTTAATAAGGAAGGGGTCTTGTTTATCTATAGCAAAACAGGAAGAAAAAAACAACCAAGGTTATGGGGGGAGTCTTTCATGTATTGCTACAGCTCTCTGCACTACGTGACAGCAGCAGCAGCCAGCTCCTCTGAGTGTTCCCTGCCAGGCACTGGCTCGAAGCTCTGTATGTTGCCTCATTAAGATTCCAGATGGCCCTGTGAGAAGGTGCACCACGTGTCAGATGCTCACATCCTGTCCTGTAGATGGGGATAATGGGTGGCAGGTGAACTTTGCACAACTCCACAGTGATATGAACTGATACTTGGATCCCTTATCATTAACCATGTTTTTACTTCACATTTTTATTTCTGAGCCAGATTTTGTGTAAAAGTGACTCATGACATCCTAGTTCAATAGCGAAACCAGAAATTGATTTCTGCTAACCATCAATTCACATTTACCTGGATCCTCTGGACAGTTCCTTTTCTTCTGGGATTAACAATCTGTTGTTCAAGCCAAAGTTTTTAATCCTTCCACCACTTCTCAAATTAATCCTCAGCGTGACCTTGAATTTTGCCAACCAGGAGCATATTCTTCCTCCACTATTAGGCAATATTTTCAAGAATCGCTTATTATAAACTTTTAAAGAAGAGAATTTTAAAGGTATGAAATAAAAGTAAGTTTGCCTTTTCCTTTAAATGTGATATTTCTCTTTCATCATCTAGTTAGATGAATAAAAAGTGTCTTGAAGGAAAAAGTGAAGGTAAGCACAAAAGTATCATACTGCATTTTTTAAATTGCCTTTCAAAAATTATAAGATGAATACTGAGAAAATTTTGGAAACAATGCCACAAAGAAAATCACCTACCAAAGATGCTCACTATTGACAGTCTGAAATAACAATTTTAAATTTGATGTCTTTTGAAGATGATTAAACCTTGTAATTTGCAGCTTTGAGAGTGAATCAGATGCAGTTCTTTTCCTAAACTGCAGTGTGTGCAGTGAAGCCCATTCATGACTACTCAGTGGACAGTTTATGATCCTCTCCAGCAGAAACATCGAGCTCAGTAAAACATATCTACTGTCTGTATCTCTTAATGTCAAATAATTTAATTTTGGCAGTTGGAGAGTTTATTGTCTACAAGGAGAATAATCTGTCACTTTTGGTACTGTAGTGGGGTAGTTGAGCAGCATCTTTGTGTATAGTAGGTGTGTCCCTCAAGAGTTGTGTATGAATTACTTTTATAATAGGGACTCCTGTAGCTCAGAACAGGACTCCTGTAGCTGATTGTTTTTTAGTAGAAGATCTTTGATGTAGGAGTCTGTTTTTGCAAATACTCAGTATTAATTTTTACCACGTCAGCATTCTATATTCTTTGGCATCTAAGACTTGATATTTAACATTTAAAAATTCTTAGGCTGGGCGCAGTGGTTCAAGCCTATAATTCTAGCACTTTGGGAGGTCGAGGCGGGTGGATCGCTTGAGCCCAGGAATTTGAGACCACCCTAGGCAACATATTGAGACCTTGCCTCTACAAAAAATAAAATTAGGTCTGGTGGTACACACCTGTAGTCCCAGCTATTCAAGAGGCAGAGGCAGAAAGATCATGTGAGTACAAGAAGTTGAGGCTTCAGTGAGACATGATCATGCCACTGCTCTCCAGCCTGGGTGACAGAGTGAGACCCCGACTCAAAAAATAAAATTCTTAAGACATCTGTCTTTTAGCCATGCATTCTGATCTGCATTATCAATGTCAAAAGGCTTTTCTAAGGCAGACTAGGTAATGTGTCCTTTTACATTACACAAAATCCAAAATAACAGAGCCTCTTACACTGACTTCTATCATGTGTCACTTGTGGAAAGCACCCCTCCCGAGCCACAGGCCCTGATACTTGTTTTCTTTCTGTGGAATGTATGTGTGTTGGTGACTTCAACATAAAAGTATTCTCAAGGTATAAAGACAACGGCCCATACAAAATAGCATGAGGATACACATTCCAACAACCTCATGTTTAGAAAAGTTACACATTTACTGCCACTTACCTGGAAAAAATGTCTCCCCACAGATTTATTTACTTTATCATATAGGGTCTGTGTTGGAGTAATTTGAAGTAGGCATGATTTATAAGGCTTGCTATAGCTAACAGATTTAATTAGATGTTTAAGCCAGACACAGAGGCATGTGCCTGTAGTCCCAGCTATGTAGGAGGCTAAGGCAGGAGATTCACTTAAGTCCAACCTGGGCAACATAGAGAAACCCCATCTCTTTAAAAAAAAAAAAAAAAGAAGAAGAAATGCTTAATGGTAGTTTGTGGTACTTTTTAATCTATTCACTAAATTGTGAGTTGACAATTTTTTGTGAAATAGGGAGTATTTATAGTTATAATACCAAATGATGACTTTAATCTCCATAGAACAAAAAATAGTTTATTCCAAATGAGCAGTCTATTCTAAAGGGGAGTTTCCTTTCTTTATGAGTTATTGATAAGGGGCTGTTTATTGGGAGTGGCACTTTCTAACTTATGACCCTATTACCTCATACTGGCCATGGCCTGTTTGAAACCCCAGCAAGGTCATGGAGGCACATCTTATGATGTCATTTCCTCAAGTTTTGCTTCCGGCCACTTAAAAATAAAGACAGATTTTGCAGCAACTTTTTGGTCAACTAGTGACTTGCTGTGGGACTGCACACCTTGAGTGTGGTACTCTGGGGACTACTGAAGGCAGAAGGACAAAGGTGAATGTCTACTTTCATAACCAATGAATGTAAAACATCTTGGCTGCTACCCTCTGAACAATACAATTGTGAAGAATAAATATATAAGTTATTAGTAACTTCCAGACTTTTCTCTGAATTTTCATTATGTAGATGTATCTCATTATACATTTCTAACTTATTAGGAACAAAGAGGATTCTGGAGCACAAATCCTAAATAGCGCATCTTTGGAAACATGCCTCTTTTCAACATAGGAAGTAATCCACACTTCCAGGGCTAGTACAAAGCCGCAGTTGAGCTTTGAACCCTTCAGAAGTGACAGAGACCAGGCATGGCCCAGTGAAAAGTAGGAATTTTATGTTATTTTAAGGTTGCTTAGCATATCTTAACTAAATGTGTAATAAAAGAAAATTCTAATAAATTGGTTGTCAGTAATTTCATATAGTGATGCTGCCTAGATTTTCTATAGCAATGAATGTTTCCTTGTGTTTTAAATGTATCTTGTGAAAAGTTCAGAGGAGGACTCTGCTATCATGAGCATTGTTAGCTCATCTCATAGATCCTAATAGGTGGAAGCCCCAGCAGCCTTCAAGGTCTTTCCAGAGTTCCTAATTTGTCAATGTGAAAATAAGGACTTCCTACCCCCGTCTCCCGTGTCCTACAGGAGGGTTAACTATTTCAGTTGCTTATGCCAGCCCAGTGAACAGGGAATCATTATGTCGGCTATCCTCCAAGAAGCCACTCTAAGCCTACATGTTTTAGGTTAAATGAATCAAGTTTTGGTTTTATAAACTAGTTAACATAGGCAGCTGCATCTGAAGACTCCAACAATAGTGTAAGAGAATCTTGCTTTGAAGTCAGTTGTGGGTGGAGTAAGGAGGCCCCATGGTATGGCATTTGACAATCAGGTGTTCAAATCAGGTTACTTCTATTCCAACATGTGGTAAGCCGATTTAATAATCATAGTTAGAGATAATGGTAGTTTCAGTGTAAAACACTATATACTTAGAAGCATAAGGTAAATTTCCATCTTCAGTAGTTTTTTTTTTTTTTTTAATCTTCAGTCGTTTTTAAACATCAGTTAAATGTCTCCTATAAAACTCTGCTTTTAAGATGTCTTTAAAACTTGGCACTTAATAGTTACTGGTTTCCCATAAAAAAAACATTAGAAATTAACCTTTGAAAATTTTTTTAAATAGAAAAGGAAATTTATTTATTATAAAATGTACAATGAAATATATCTCATTATTAGCCTCTGTAGAATTGAGCTACAAATTGACAGGTATTTCTTCAAGAGCAAACATTGTTTTAAGAAGAAAAAATATTAAGTATTACTTATTGTGGTATAATTCTAGGGAAAAAACAATAAAATCCTCATTAATGAAAAACTGAAGGAACTAGAAATCAGTATCATGAATTGAGCAATTTTATATGACCCAATTTTTAAATGAATTATTAATAAACTTGACCTTAAAATAGACATTTTTTTTCAGATAAGTTAGCATTGGTTTTACATCTTATGTCTCTAACCTCCACCAACGCACACAGGAAGTGTCCCCTTCTTGATAGTTTTTCTTTACAGACTTTGTGGTGCTTGATTTTATCATAGTTACATCTTCTCTAAAGCAAAAAGAAGCCCCTAGAAACATAAGGGTAGCTGGGCTCGGTGGCTCAGGCTGTAATCCCGCACCTTGGGAGGCTGAGGTGAGTGGATTGCCTGAGCCTGCAGGTTCGAGACCCGCCTGGGCAACTTGGTGAGACTTCATCTCTACAATAAATCAAAAAATTAGCCGGGTGTGGTAGTGCACACCTGTACTTACAGCTACTTAGAAGGCTGAGGTGGAAGGATCGCCGGAGCCCCTCAGGTCGAGGCTGCGGTGGCCGGGAGCAGCCACTGCACTCCAGTCTGGGCGACAGAATGAGTCTCCCAACTCAGAAAAAAAAAAAAAAAAGGAACAAGGGTGACATCCAGGACCCCCTAGAGGTGGGGGGATGAGGTTCACATCTTCTGTGGTTCGTCTCTGGAATTGGATAGATCAACTGTCAACTCATTTTCGTTTCCATTTTATGTTATATTTAGAATTGTGTGTGATAGAGGCTTTACATACACATTTTCCAGCAGTGTAAGGTCAGGAACCCTGCATCATAGCCCATTCTCATTTCTTACTCCATCCCCTGCCCATTTGTTTCCAGGCCTGTCCACGGATAGTCCTCAGCCTTCTCCCTCCAGCCAGAAGAGCTCCCTGAGCCTGAGCCCTGCGTTTCTGGTGACCCTGAGTCCAGCCGAACAGGGTTCATCCCCACTCCTGAGCCCTGTCCTTAGTGATGCTGGCGGAGCCAGGATGGATGACGAGGAAGAGCCAAGACACAAGGTGGGCACCACCAGAGGCTGAGAAGCAAACAGAGGGGTTACAGGGCCGGGGTCTGTGCTCAGTCTTCCTTGGGGTAGTCCTAGTGGAGGAATCTGGGAGGGTGGAAAGGGGCTCTGCCCACAGCCACCCCATGAGCCTCCTGAGCAGAGAAGAGATGCTGGGACAGTTCCCCCAGTTAAATCACCTCTGGGACTCTTCAGGCTTCTTTGTGCAAAGACAAGTTTCCTTGTTCACTTACCAAATGGTTCCTTGTACCTACGCCCCCCATGTGTCAGACTGGACCCTGGGGCTGGGTGGGCGTTTCCAGATTCCCCCTCCTTCCTCCTTCCCCCTTTCCTCATTCGTCCCTTCCTCTATGCTCCTTCCCCCACTCCTTGCTTGGTTGGGCACTGAAAACAATCAAGTAAGTAGGAGTAAAAATCTGGCAGCTAAGAAAAGGTTTGCTGGGGACTCCACCTTGTCTTGGGGACCAGGGAGGCTCTTGGATGGAAAACCTGACGGGTGCCCTGGTTCAGATGTTGGAGACGTTGGAAGAGCCTGCAGCTTGGGAGGGGAAGATCTTCAGCTGTGGTGGCAAGGGGAGGGATGCATGGGCATGGGTCACAGGCAGAGCTGAGGATTTATGGTAGAAAGTTGAGGCAGTGGTCCCTGAAGGTCTCTCTTATTGGAGGTGACAGGAGCAAGGGCACACACTGAGAGTCTGTAGGTAGAAAGTGACTGAGCAGAGAAGCCTGCTGCAGGGAGGTGCAAGATAGCCAGGGGCAGTGGCACTGTGATCTCAGGGTGGCCTCCCTTCTCCTGGCCCTATGGGGCCCGCCTGTAGCTGCTGTGGCTTTGCAAAAAGGCACTACAAGAAAAGATGCAGGATTCAGGGAGTTTGTGGTTTGGGAAAGAGAATGGGCTATGGACTGTGGTGGGCCTGGGGACCACAGAGAAGGGAGGTGTGGAGTCCCTGAATAGCAGCCAGAGGGAGGAGGTCATGGAGCCCCTAAGTGGGAGGGACACCTGCCTCAGGTGCCATCACAGGGGAGGTATGTCATTGTAACATTTCAACACTCTTGTTTGTGTTTTATCCTGAGTTGGCCAAAGTATATTTTAAGGCCATGCCTTCCAGATGGCAGGGCAGCTTGTAGAACTCTTGCGATTCCTCAGCAGGTAGGATGGAATGACTTGTCTCCATGTGATGTGGTGCAGGCTTCTGCTCCCCTGTTCCCCAGGAGTACCCCTTGTGCCCTACCCTGTGTGAGAGCAGCCCCTGACCTGGAGGCGGCAAGGTAGACACAAAACCATGTGCGGCCTACAGATGACGGCTAGTTCTGGTCCCAGGACCTCAACCCCATCCTTGCCTGCCTCAGCCTCACCTCACCCACCTCATCCTCATCCACTGGCCTGCAGAGGCCACTGCTCATCCCTGGGTGCTTCATGTTCAGCAGTGAGGCAGTGGGCTGTGGATGTCTTTTTTTTTTTTATTTATTTTGGAAATGTAATGACAATTTGTTGAGCTCACGGTTTCTTTGGTACAAAAACAAAAATGACTGGGAGGCAATCTGTTTTCAAGAGTAAATTTTAATTGGTTACTTTTTATATTACAAAAACGTATTTGATTCTTTAGGTGGTTCTATAAAGTGATAGCTTGGCACATCTGAGGATAACTTGACTGAGGGTGTGTGACCCAGAGAGAGAAAGGAGCCTATTGACCTGGAACAGCAGCATGAGATGGTCCTCTGGGATGGAGGCACCTCCATCTTCACAGAATCAGGGTCCTCACAGAGCCCTGTCCTTGAGTACTTGGTGACTGGGTCACTGTGGAGGGAGGTTCTCTCAGGCAGCCCTTGGGCACAGCCCCTGCATGTAGAGACCCTCAGCTCTGCTCCAGTGTCTCTCAGTCTCTTCTTAGGGTCTGCTTTGCCTTACTTCTCCATGTGTGGGTCCACATTAGCAAGACCAATTTCCAGGACAGGTGGGCTCTGGGGTGGCAGGGACAGCTCTTTCCTTACCACTGCCCCCCAGGCCAGCCCAGCAGCTGGCACACAGGGACTGCTGAGTAAATGTGGGCTCATGGGTGAGCCAACAGCTGTGGTCTGGCCTGGAGGTGAGTGCCCATCAGATTTGCTCTCTGTGCTGATCCTGTGAGTCAGTGTCACCCAGCAAGGCTGCGGCAGGTTCCAGAGAGGCCCTGGCCACAGATTCACTGACAACCCTCCTGGTGGGGCCTAAGCAGCATCTCTGTTTTCCTCAACTCCACAAGCCGACACAGGGGTCTGAGAACCATGGTGCTCCCCTCAAGGCCAGGCCGTCAAGCCTCTGTGCTTGCATCTGGCTGCTCAGATATGTGTGGAGACCCAGAAGCTGCTGATCCTCTGGTCTGCCCTCACCAGCTTATCTCCCTCCTCCCTAGTGTCCCCCCACTTGATGCACTGTCTTTCCCCTTTCTAATAGAGACTGGTGAGGACCGACAATATTCGAAAGGTAGGAAAGCCAAAGGTGGCAGAAGTGTCTTCCTCGTGCTTGCATGGGGCTGAGAACTGCCACTGGCTCACCCTGCTTTGGGTGCACGGGCACTTCCTATGATGACAGGTGGCAGAGCTTGCAAGAATTGTGCTCTCCTCTGGGTATCCCTGGCCACCACACATCCCTTACCAGCAGTCCCACTTGCTTGGGGCTCAGGTTGTACATCAGTCTGGAGGTGTAGGGGCAGAGAATCAGCTGTTATGCCTTCTGTCCCCTGAGAGTTACCTTGAGGTTTTCCTTGGGTTGATAAGGGCATGGGGTGGGTGGCTGTCCCTAGCCACTCCCCTGGCCACTCTGCATCTCTCATCACCCACTGGTGCACTTGTGAAGAAAAGCCTCCTGAGTGGTACAGCCATGGCTGTCTTGGGGCACGTGTCTCTGTGTGTCTCCATCCCCAGGAGAGGAGCTAGTCTGGGACTTGGGCATTCTTTTTCTATAGAACAATATTCAGAGTTAGGATGTCGCTTTTGGTGGCTGCAGTTAGAAAGCCAGCTTCCTTGTGCTAGACTCTCCCAGGACCCAAGACCAACTATTTGTGGTTGTTAACATCTGGAATCCCTGTTCCTCAGCCATGCTGGAGAGGCCAAGGCCTCCCAAACCATAAACATGGGCCTCTTGGGTCAACTCTGACCCCAGGGATTTCCCTGGGTCTATCAATCTCAGGTGGAGATTTTTTAAAACGATTTTACTGAAATTTGGATTTTAAAAAGTAACATTTTAATATTGTGAAGCCCTCCAAAAAAATGGAAAACATGAAGACCAGCAAGGTGGTTCAGCTCTCCTATAGGGAGAGGGCTGGTGTGTCGGGGAGCAGGGGCCAGAACTGGAACATGGCATCACCCTGGTTCTGGAGGGCTCCAGGTAGCAACTTCCTGAGGGGCCAGCCATGTCAGTGGGCTCCAGGGCACACAGGATGGACACAACCTCTGTCGCCCTTTCATCCACAAGGGGCAGATCATCTGCCAGCGTGTCACAACCTGTCCAGGTGCATAGGGAAGAAAATGTGGGCCTTCTCAGCTGCTTGTACCTTCCAGCTTGGCATCTATCACACACGTTAGATTCATGGTGCAAACCTAGCTCCTGTACTTCCAAACCTGCCCCTGTAGCCTACCCTACTGTGAGGTGAGGCAGCTCGTCTTTCCCTTGACTTAAATGAAAAACTACTGCAGTCATCCCTCCCACCTCAATCCCACATGTGTCACATCTACATTGAAACTCTAGAATGGCCGGGCTTGGTGGCTCAGCCTGTAATCCCATGCCTTTGGGAGGCTGAGGTGAGTGGATTGCCTGAGCCCGCGAGTTTGAGATCCGCCTGGGCAGCAAGACCTCATCTCTACAATAAATAAAAAAATCAGCCGGGTGTGATAGCGCATGCCTGTAATTCCGGCTACTTGGAAGGCTGAGGCGGAAGGATCACCGGAGCCCAGCAGGTCGAGGCTGCGGTGGCCGGGAGCGGCCACTGCATTCCAGTCTGGGCGACAGAGTAAGACTCCAACTCAAAAAAAAAACAAAACTCTAGAATGTGTCTAGGACCTCACCCCTCACCCCTCCATGCCCCATCAGCCAGTGCTGTCACACCAGCAGGTGGGGAGGCCTCCTGGAGCCCCTCCCTGCCATTCTGGTTCACTCTCATCCTCGGTTCCAAGGGTATCATGGCCCATTCAGGTAGAATCCAAAGAGACCAGAAGGCCTATGTGGCCATCTTTCCCTGCCAGTAGCTTGTCTCACCCCCTTACCATTCCTCTTCTCCTGTGCTCCAGCCCCTTGATCTCTGACCTGTCATAGGTGTGCTGTTGGCTCTGAATGAGGTACGGCCTGCCCCTCCTCTGTTCTCTGCTGTACTTTACACAGCCCTCTCTGCTGGGACGTGTGGTATCCTCCTTAATGGTGTGGGTTGTTTCTCGCCTTCTCCTCTGGGGAGGACATTCTTGTGGGGGCAGAGGCCATGGCTCCTAGGCATGTCCAGGTACCTGTTCAGAACTGGCACATGCTCCTGGAAGTTTGCAGGAACACAGGCCAGCTGCCCCAAGACAGCTGTTGTCTGGTGGTAGAGTGGACAAGCTGCCCAGGTGGAGCAGGACAGTGGAAAAGGGGCTATCAACTATATCTCAACAGAGGGGCTCAGGGTGGGGAGGGGCCCTTCAGAGACAGGACACAGAGCCCATCAAGACCATGGTGAGGCATATGCTTTGCCAGGAATGCTGAGCTGGGCGAGGTGCAGAGGGTCCTCCACCACTGACTTGCCTGCCCAGAGCCAGCACATTGAGCAGAGACAGCCCTATCCAATACAGGAGTGCCCAGGGCTGGGCCATCTCTGGGGGGTGGGGCTTGGGGGGCTGGGCCTGAGGGGGGTCTGCCCCTGCATCAGGAAGTATACCAGCCAGCCCAGGGTTGAGGTAGACTCACTGTTCATTTTAATGACTTTTGTATGAGTTGGGTTTAATTGTTCATAACCACCTACACTTGTGGATCCATATCTGCTAAATTGCAATACCATTGGCAGTGACATCTGAACAATAATCTTATTGCAAAGCCAATATAAGTTTCAGCCTTGTTTCCATATGTTGATATCTGAATGGCAATTCTTTTCTCCAAAAAAAACATAAATTGAGAAAAACATATGAGGGAGATACATCATCAGGAGTTAGGGTTGGGAACCCCATGACAAGGGTGACTTGTGGGGAAGTGAGTGTTATAGACTTTGGGCTCCCTGAACACGAGAGGGGCCACACCTCAAGGGCACAAGTTCACATGTCTCTGCTTCTTTCAGCGCGTGCCTGCAGACGAGGCCTACTTCATAGCCAAGGAGATTCTTGCCACAGAAAGAACATACCTGAAGGATTTAGAAGTTATTACTGTGGTATGAAAGGCTTTGATTGCTTTGATTTTCTTGTAATACATCTTAAATCCAAACAGAGACAAGAACTGTCTCTTGGTTATCATGAGACTTACATGTATCTATTTCATTAAATATATCTGCTTTAAAACATTTCTTCTAAGTCAGGTCAGAACATTGAGGTCCAAATTTTTGTGAAGCTATAAAGCTGGGAGTGCGTCCATTTGAAACTTTCAACCTAGAATTGTTTTGTTATATTTGAAAATTGGATGATATGTACTAATGTGAGCCATCCTTGTAGGCGGTGACTGGAGGGTCGTTGCTGGGGTATCCTATGGTCATAGGCCTTCAGGGGCACCATTTTTCAGTTCCCAGCAAGGGCCATGCCTCCCGTCACACCAAGCTCCTCCCACAGTGGTTCCGCAGTGCAGTGGTCAAGGAGGACGCCATGCCCGCAACCCTGATGACCCTGCTCTTCTCCAACATCGATCCCATCTATGAGTTCCACAGAGGTTTCCTGCGCGAGGTGGAGCAGAGGCTGGTGCTCTGGTAACACTGCTACGAACTGGGTGGCCCCTACATGCTGAGCCCCCACTCAGGAGACCCCCACATGGATTACCCCCACGTCCTGGGCCCCAACAAGAGTGGTTCCTGCCCTCATCATCATTACTGCTCTTAAGAACTTCCCAGCTTCAGAAACCAATTCAGAAGAACCATTATTTAATTGAATTTTATTTTTAGAATCCTATGGGGAGAAGTAGAGGTGTAATAATAACCTTTATTCATTATCCAGAAAAGAGAACAGGAGAAACAAGTTAGAGTGGGTGATCCTTGCCAGGCATGGTGACTCAAGCCTATAATTCCAACTCTTTGGCGGGGAGGCCCAGGCAGGAGGATTGCTTGAGCCCAGGAGTTTGAGGTTGCTGTGAGCCATGATTGTGCCACCGCAGTCCAACCTGGTTGACCGAGTGAGACCTCAATTTTTAAAAAAGTGGATGGTCCCTTTTTGCCTGGTTACCATCTGTTGTTTTGAATGACCAGACATGTAATAACTGTTTCCATCCAGGACAGGCCCTGACACTTAGCCCTCCACCTCAGAGCATCATGCTGCCCTCCCTCTGACCAGGACCAGGACAGTCATCACCCCAGCGTCATATTGCAGTGCCCCAGAAGCTGTCACCACATTTAGAATATTTTTGTTCCTCTTTACTCCAGGGAAGGGCCCTCCAAAACCCATGTGAAAGGTGGACACCAACGAATTGGGGACATCCTGCTCAGGAACATGCATCAGCTAAAGGTAGGCTGAATTTGTGCTGATGGCAGGCCTCGCACAAATGCTGTGGATGGGAGTATGTCTGTCCTCCCTGCCAGAACAGCATTCACCTCAACAGCATTCCCCGTTTAGAACAGGATCCCCCACAGAACAAAGTCCCTCTCAACATCTTCCTCTCAGAACAGTATTCCACTCAGGACATCGTCCCCTTAGAGCAGCATCCCTCTCATAATTAGTTTTTTCTAAGAAACCAAGGATCAGCTGGGCTCAGTGGCTCAGCCTGTAATCCCAGCACTTTGGGAGGCCAAGGCGAGTGGATTGCCTGAGCCCGCGGGTTCAAGAACAGCCCGGGCAACTTAGTGAGATATTGTCTCTACAATAAATCAAAAACCAACCAGGCATGGTGGCATGTGTCTTTGGTTCCAGCTACTTGGAAAGCTGAGGCCAAAGGATCATCTGAGCCCAGCAGGTCAAGGCTGTGGTGGTCTTGAGTGTGCCACTGCCCTCCAGCCTGAGCAACAGAGTGAGACTCCAACTCAAAAACAAACAAACAAACAAAAAACCAAGAGTCCAAATGGAGTGACTTCTGGATAGTCAAGATCAGTGCCATGGAAAAGCAAGATGTTCCTTTAATATGACCAGTTGTCACAAGTGTTTGCATCAGCTGTCACCAGTCCAGGTCTTGTGTCTACTGTTCAGGGCTCTTGCTCTTGCTTATATAACACCTGGGATAGGCCTCCCTCCCACTCAGGATACTCACAAATTCATCACATGGTGGCCTGAGGTGTGAAGTCCCATATATGACACTATGCTCCTGAGCCACTCACTGCAGTGGCCACTCCTTGGGCACCCCCCATCCCCCAACCTTTACCTGTCCTGCCTTCTAGCCAACCTGGCCTGACTCTGGCCACACCCCTTGCTAGAGTTTCCAAGGGCCAATGGCTCTTTCTATCCTGTCATCAGATAGCCTCACTGGAGGACTCAGATACCCCTTTCCCACCCTGATGCTTTTCTGGGTTCTGGGCCACATTGTTAATTAGAAAGTTCTATCTATCCCAAAATCAGTTACACTAATTTGAATTGAAATGTACATTTGGATGTGAGCTGACTCACGCCTGTAATCCCAGCACTTTGGGAGCCAGAAGCGCAAGGATTGCCTGAGCCCACGGGTTTGAGACCAGCCTGGGAAACATGGCACGATCTCGTCTCTACAATAAATCAAAAAATTAGCTGGGTGTGGTGGCTCATGCCTGTAGCTCCAGCCTCTTAGAAGGCTAAAGCAGATTGCCTGAGCCCAGCAGGTTGAGGCTGTGTTGGCCGTGAGCTTGCCACTGCACTCCAGCCTAGGCTACAAAGTGAAACTTCAACTCAAAAAAAAAAAAAAAAACCCAGGTGCAGTGGCTCATATCTATAATCTCAGCACTTTGAGAGGCTGAGGTGAGAGGACTGCCTGAGTCCAGGGGTTCGATACCAGCCTGGGCAACTTGGCAAGACCTTATCTCTTTACAATAAATCAAAAAAATTAGCCAGGCGTGGTAATGCCCACCTGTGGTTCTAGCTACTTGGAAGGCTGAGGTGGAAGGATCACCTGAACCTAGCAGGTTGAGGCTGCAGTGGCCATCAGCATGCCACTGCACTCCAGCCTGGGTGACAGAGTGAGACTTCAGCTAAAAAAAAAAAAAAAACCAGATTATCATAACACACAGGTCATCTTAAACTGGTCTGATATTAAAACCTGGAAGATAGGAACTAGTTTCATTTAATATGTGTATGTGACACTCAGAATCCACACACTTTTATGTGTGCTGTAAAAGCATCGGACATGGTTATTCCCTCTGTCCAATAACTGGGTCAGCACAACTGCTTGGCTCTGCTCTTTTTTTTTCTTTTTGGTGAGTCAAGGTCTCTATGGTTGAAGTGCAATGGCACAATCATGGCTTGTCGCAGCCTTGGCTTTCTGGTCTCAGGCAGTCCTTCCATCTTAGCCTCCCAAGTAGCTAGGACTACAGTCACATGCCACCACGCCCAGCTTATTTTAAAATATTGAGTAGAGATGAGGTCTTGCTATGTTGGCCAGGGTGGTCTCGAATTCCTGGGCTCAGGCAATCCTCCTGCTTTGGCTTCCCAAAGTTCTGGGATTACAAGCATCAACCACCGCACCCAGCCTTGGCTCCACTCTTGAAAGAAACTTCTGGAGCCAGCACTGAGACCAGGCAGAGCTGGAGTGGGCTTAGTTTAATCCCTGCCCAGTGCTCACTCACTGCATCCTACAAGGTGAACTACAGCTCTCCCAGCCTCAGTTCTTCATCTGTCAAGTGGGGAGATGACTGTGATCTACTTAGCATGAGCAACTTGGGCCAGTCAGTGGCTGGCATGGCAGTGGCTCTGGCTGGAATGAGGTACAGGTCAGAAGGAATCTGAGATGGGTAAGACATGCTGGAAATCCTCCAGCTGGCATACACTGGGCATGGATTTCCAGTGAGCATGTGATGTCCACACTGGGAGTTCTGTCTCCGTGAACGGGTCACTTTCCCACTGAACCTCCCACATCTCCTAACCTAAACACCCCCTCTTGTGCCTCCACAGGAGTTTACCAGCTACTTCCAAAGACATGACGAGGTCCTGACAGAACTAGAGAAAGCCACCAAACGCTGTAAGAAGCTGGAGGCAGTGTACAAGGAGTTCGAGCTACAGAAGGTCTGCTACTTACCTCTTAACACGTTCCTGCTCAAGCCCATCCAGCGGCTGGTACACTACCGCCTGCTGCTGCGTCGCCTGTGTGAGCACTATGCGCCCAGGCACCATGACTACGCCGACTGCTGTGGTGAGTGTGAGTACAAGCCTGCACCTCAAAGACTGACAGCACTGGGAGGCAGGAACGGTTTTGCCAGACCTACAACCAGGCTTCCTTCACTGGAAAGTGCAGGGTGTCTGCCCCCAAAGGGCTGGAACTACAGTGCTGTCAGCACCGGCCCTGGCCTTCTCACCCCTTCAACTGCTAACATGAGCAGGTCTCAGGCCACACAGATCTCTGGCTGTCCTGCTTCTCCACCCCAGCACAAGGCTGTTCTCAGCCCTGAGTCTGAGCAGCACAGTGAAAGGCTGTGATTGTTCTGCAGTGGTCATGGGGAGTAGGTGCTGTGACAAAGGTGTTGTCCTGCCAGCATCCCCTACCTCCCCGCATCTGTATGGGGACTGGGGGGCAACTGCCAGAGTGACATGTTACCTGTGGGTGTTTCTGTCCTAGAGGCCTTGACTCTAAAACTTATAAACAATTGGGCCAAGGTAGCTGTTAGGAGTTTCTCACATACATGAACTCTGTCATTTTTTTATTTGTGTTAAAGGGACAAAAGAATAAATTCTGACCTTCTTAACCTATAAATATGACTTCTAACTGTAGTGTAAATTTAGTGTAGGAAATTGATGTCCGCCAGGAGGTTTTTACAAGTAAATTTACAATTGTCATTAAAAGTATAAGATGAAGCCAGGCTTGGTGGCTCAGCCTGTAATCCCAGCGCTTTGGGAGGCTGAAGTGAGTGGATTACCTGAGCCCGCAGGTTCAAGACCCGCCTGGGTAACTTGGCAAGACCTCATCTCTATAATAAATCAAAAATTAGCCAGGCATGGTAGTGCGTGCCTATAGTTCTAGCTACTTGGAAGGCTGAGGCGGAAGGATCACTAGAACCCAGCAAGTTGAGGCTGCAGTGACCGGGAGCAGCCACTGCACTCCAGTCTGGGTGACAGAGTGAGACTCCAACTCAAAAAAAAAAAAAGTATAAGATGAAAAAATATTTAGCACTCCCTTCTAGCTGGTTTCCTATGGCCATAAATGGGTATGCATAAGGATGCTTTCTGATTAGCAAGAAACAAAGTGGACCATACAATGTTGACAGTTCTCTTTATTCTAAAAACAAATGTTTCATGTTTGCTAAAAAGGAAAAGGACAAAATTATAGAAATGCTTTCAAGTGTTTCAACTGTTTCTTGTTGGCAGTCATATCCCATGGTAGTAATTATGGGGTAGGAGTAGTGCTGGACAGAGGATGACCCAGGCCCAGGTGACCAGGGAGGCCATGCCATGAAGATGACCAGGGCCCAGGTTCCAATCATGTCTCTATGTGCTTTAAGGGATCCCTTCACCTCTGACTTGTCAGGATTCTCATCAGTAAAATGTTCCACATGAGGCTGGTGCAAAAACTACATGAAGCTGTGTTTACGAAATAAGAGCTTGGTAAGTTGTTAATGCAACAGAACATTGAGAACCGTCAGCCTCAGTAGGTTTGCTTCAGACCTCAGCCGTATCTAGAGAGCCAGAAAAGCCCAGTCGATAAAACACATTCTCAGCTGGCACAGCCACAGGTTACTTCCCCTCTATGACCCTACCCTCCATCCACAGGGCACAGGCCTGCTTGTCAAGAGAGGACTTTCTTGGAAAAAGCCCCTTGGTGTGCAGATGTTATTAGCTCTCTTGGTGTTCCTGAGAAGTTGAACTGGAACTCTCTTGGACAAAAGGGAGGTGCCTTTTGGCTGGGGCTGAGGGAAAGTGGCCTTGCATTTTTAGTTATTTTTCTTTTTTTTTTGAGTTGGAGTCTCACTCTGTCACCCAGACTGGAGTGCAGTGGCCGTCCCCGGCCACCGCAGCCTCGACCTGCTGGGCTCCAGCGATCCTTCTGCCTCAGCCTTCCTAGTAGCCAGAATTACAGGCGCGTGCTACACGCCCAGCTAATTTTTTGATTTATTATAGAGATGAGGTCTCGCTGCCCAGGCGGGTCTCGAACCCGCGGGCTCAGGCAATCCACTCACCTCAGCCTCCCAAAGTCACGGGATTATAGGCTGAGCCACGGAGCCCGGCTTAGTTATTTTTCATTTTGACGAGGGTTTCCCAAGGTGCTAGGTGCTAAGCATGTCTTGATGATCCGTTAACATCACACACCTGCTCTGCCTACTGCTGTGGGTTCTGTGGAGGATGTCAAGGAGACTTGGGTGATTTGTAAGAACTTCAGTCCACCATCAGGTCTGAAATGTGCCCTAACCCTCCAGCAGCTTCCAATGCCAACCCAAGTGCAATGCAGAGCCCATGTGGCAGTAGGGCTTCCAGCCCTGTACTCTGTGGACATGGCATCCAAGAGCAGGGTGGCACTGGTGCTATCCAGGGGGGACACATGGGGCCAGGCAGTCATACATGAATGAGCATGGCATGGTGAGTCTTTGCCCAGTGAGGTATCCAGAAGGAGGGGCTCAAGCTCAAGTTGGGTCTCTAGGGATGGCCAAGCTGGGAGATGGGGAGAGCCAGGGGACTGGGGGCAGGAGCTTAGGAATCTGCACAGAGCAGACTCTGACCACCAAGGCTTGTAGCTGCCAAGACTTGCACTAGCACCACTGAAGTTCTTCCTGATGCTTTCAGTGTCATTTATGAGTCATTTTGTCGTTTGTAAACGACAGTCTCTGTATGTGCTTCATTCTTTTCTGACTTTATCCTCTGAAAGCTGAGCTGGGAGGGAATGTTGTCACCTCCACTGGAGAGGATAGAGCTGGAAGCAGTCATGTGACTTCACACTAACAGACTATGGTCAGAGAGCGGGAGGGAGTCCTGAAAGGGAGGGTGGTCCCCACAAGTGATTCCAGTAAGGAAGATGTGGCCACTGTGTTCTGGGCAGCCTCAGAGGTGGGATCAGACCCAGCCAAGAAGCCACTCCCAGTGTGGCCTGCTCAGAGTAGGGGAGGCCACTCTTAGTGTCTGATTTTGTGTTTTGTCTTGGGAAATTTCCCTTCCTGATTATAAATTTCATATATTTGTCTAAGCTTTATGATTAGCATCAGTTTCTCCATTCAAAGAGAAAAATTACAGTTGCTTTGCAGGTGCAAATCATTTAGCCTTGAGAGTACAGTGAATCATTGTCCTTAATACAGACTGCCTTGAGCATAACATTAGTTATTTGCAAATCTTGTCCTTTCCCTTTTACCAAGCCAGAGTATTGGTTAGTCAAAAGCTTGGGCTGAACAAAGTCAAGATCTCAGCAGTATCTACAACAGCCTGCACCTGCTGAACAGGTGCCCGGTGGCTGCATACAGTGGGCAGCATCTCCTGTAAGGAGTTGGAGTGGGGTGTGCCCAAGCTAAAACCACCTATAGAATGCCAGCTTCTATCACAGGGTGGTAGACAGAGGGTCCTGTGTGCACCACCACTCCCATACCTATACTGAGGGGTCTCTCCATACAGACGCCCTGAAAGCCATCACAGAGGTGACCGCCACACTCCAGCACAGCCTCGTCCGGCTGGAGAACCTGCAGAAGCTGACAGAACTTCAGCGGGACCTGGTGGGCATCGAGAACCTCATCACTCCTGGCAGGGTGAGTGTCCTTGTTGTGGAAAGAGTTTTTGAGCTGCTTACTTTTCTAATTGAGATATAATTCACATACCATAAAACTCAACCTTTTAAGATGTGTGATTTAGTGGATTTTAGTATGTTCACAAGGTTATGCAGCCATCGCTGTCTAATTCAGAACATTTTACCACCCAAAGTGAAGCCCATGCCCATTAGTAGTCACTATCGTCACCCCCCCCAACCCCACCCCATCCCAGGCAACCACTGATTTGCTTTCTGTCCCTAAGGAGTTGCCTATTCTGGGCATTTAATAGAAATGGAATCATATATTATGTCTTTTGTGACCAACTTCTTTCTCAGAATAATGTTTTCAATGTTCATTCATGTTATAGCATGGATCAGTACTTCATCCCCTTGTGTGGCTGAATTATTTTCCATCATGTGTATACCACATGTTTATCCATTCATCTGTTGATGGACACTTGGGTTGTTTCCACTTTTGGCTATGTATAATGCTGCTGTGAACATTCATGCGCAAGATTTCATTTATCTTGGGCATAAACCTAGGGGTAGAATTGCTGGGTTATATTATAATTTTATGTTTAACATTTTGAAGAAATGCCAAACTGTTTTCCAAAGTGACTGTACCATTTCACATTCCCACCATCTTATATGCGAGTTGCAGTTTCTCCATGTCTTTTTTTATTTTTTTTTTTGTCACTGACTTGAAATTCAATATCTGACTTTTTGATTCCTGCCATCCTAGTGGGTGTGTAGTGCTATTGTGGTTACGATTTGCATTTCCCTGGTGGCAAATGATGTTGAGTGTCTTTTCATGTGCTTATTTGCCATTTGTTAGGCCTTCTTTAGAATTTAGATCCTTTGCCTACTTTTTATGTTATCCAGAATATGTAAAGAACTCTTAAAGCACAATAGTAAAAAGACATATATTCTGAATACTAGACTCTTATCAGAATATGATTTGCAGATTTCTTTTCCCACTGTATAGGTTGCCTTTTTACTTTTTTTTTTTTTTTTTTTGAGTCAGGATCTCACTGTGTCACCTAGGCTGGAGTACAGTGGCATTGTCATGGCTCATCACAGCCTCGAACTCCTGGGCTCAAGGAATCCTCCCTTAGCCTCCTGAGTAGTTAGGACTACAGATACACCCCCCCACATCTGGCTGATTTTTAATTTTGTGTGTGTGTGTGTAGAGACGAGGTCTTACTATATTGCCCAGGCTGGTTTTGAAATTTTGGGCTTAAGCAATCCTCCTGCCTTGGCCTCTTAAACTGCAGGGATTACAGGCATGAGCCACTGCGCCTGGCTGCCGTCTTTTCACTTTCTTGATGGTCCCATTTACAACAGAGAAAGTTTTAATTTTGTTGAAGTCCAATTTGTTTATTTTTTCTTTAGTTGCTTATTCCTTAGTATCATATCTAAGAAACCATTGCCCGATACAAGGTATGTACTCTATTTTTGACTTTTTCTAGTGCTTTTATATTTTAGCTTTTACATTTAGATCTTTGATTCATTTTGAGTTAATGGTTGCATATGGTGTGAAGTAGGGGTTCACTTCATTCTTTTGCATGTGGATGGCCAATTATCCTGTCACCATGTGTGGAATTGTCTTGGCATCCTTGTAGAAGATCAGTGGACCATAGATGGATGGATAGATTTATTTCTGGGTTTGTGATTCTGTCCCATGGTCTATATACCTGTTGGGCTGCTCACTTTCTATCACCAGTGCCTTTTGCTTTGAACTCAATACTGTCAACATAAGAAAATTGTTTTCAAAATTGCATGGAGATGTTTCCTGTCTCAACATACACATATGTGCATTAGTGGATGTGTATAATCACGTTTCTGTGTTAGCCTTGTTATAAGAAGGTATTGAGAATGTAGCTCAGAGAAATGAATTAGCCTGGAATATACAGGAAGGAGTTTGGGCTTTGATTGGGTGCTAAGATCACCTCTCAGATCCATTTCTCTCCTTGGCTGCATAGCTCTGAGCTGGTGCTGCTGGCTGGGAACTCCTGGAGGTAGGGCTCACGTGACACTTGTTATTTCTCTCAGTGACTCCAAGGCAGCATCTTATAGATGGTGGCCCCAGGAGACAGGTAAATGAGAGTAGCCACACAGGCCAGTGGTGGGGATAGAGGCCCCCACAAGGCTCAAATTCAGGCTCTGTATGCTTCCTGTGTGGCCCAGGCAGGCTGCTCCATTCACCTCTCTGAGAAAGATGTTCTTGAGGATTAATAAGGGGTCAGCTGCTCAGTCCAGGGCCTTGCATGAAGTGCTAGAATTGTTATTGTTAGTCAAAATATCTAAAGTCATATCTTCATAAGCCAGGGTTTCTTGTCTCCCAGAGTTAAATATGTGCATTAGTCAAGAGACAGAAACTACACCAGTTATTTGAGCACAGATTTAATAATAAGGATTGATAATAGGTATAAAGTTGACAATGAAGTTCCCAAGGGGAAAAAGACACTGTAAAGTGTCAAAGAGATGGCAAAACTGAGAAGGAGGCACCAGTCTACGGAAATGAAGGGAGGAGATCTAGGTTCTTAAAACTTAATGGCATAGCAAAGGGTTCATGGCACTGATGCTCACAGCTCTGGAGCCAGTGGAGAAGGTGACCCGAGGGCCTGGGATGCACACCGTGGGTGGGCTCTGAGCAGAAGCTGCTGCTCAGTCAGTTCTGGGACTTCTGAGGGGTGGTGAAGCTGGCTCTGTGAGGGCAGCTAGCGCTGAGGTGAAGCAGCTGCTAGGTGGCTCCTAGGACTGGAGCGTGGGGCAGCTGTCCTGCCTCTCACTCCCTGTTGTGCCCCTGTGGCCTCTCCAAGCAGAGCCAGGAGGGCGAGCTTGGAGTGAGAGACACAAACTTAATAACTGGCCCAGTCCAGTTATGCAGTAGCATCCTTGTGAGAGAAAGACTTACCTTTCCGCTGTGCAGGGTGAGGGGACCGTTGGGGCTGACTTTTCGTTTCATATTCGTCTGTGAGGATGACTTGCTTAATGTTTTACTTTTTACACCTTCACACAGTATGTTGGGGGCTGCTCACACTGGCAGGTCTCTGGCATATTCTCAGGACACACAGCTGCTTGTCCTGTTTGTCTGAAAGGTACACACAGTAGAAGGGCTCTAGAAATGGTCCAAACTAGGAATGCTCTGGGATCCCCAGGATGCCCAAGTCCTGCCATAAGCATAGGCTCCAGGGGCCTCTCTGATGACTGCGTGCATGCTTAGAGACAAATGTGTGGGGGCCTGGACTCTGCTGCCTCCCATGCAAATGGGGAAGAGGGAGGGATCTCTCCAGAATCCTGGAGGGAGGTTAGGGCCTGGGGGTATTGAGCCCTACTCTCCACAAAGAGCTGCCCAGGTGGTTCCTTTCAGAGCTTCAGCTCCTCAGAGTGGATCATTCTTATGGATTTTAAGGCCTCTGTGGTCTTAGGGATTCTTTTTTCTTATTTAATGCCCTGAGGCCAGCTAACTCAAATTACCTGAGAACACCTGCAAGGATCCCCTCCTCCTCCATTCTCAAACCTGCATCTGCCCAATTTTTCTCAAAGCGGAATTCAGATGACATCTTTGTGACTGAACCTTCCAGAATTCTCTTCTCAGCAAGTACAATACCCTTGGTTTACCTCTTTGTTGTCTCAGGGTTCCTGTTCCAAAGCAGGTACTCAGTAGATGATTTGGGGATTGAACTAGTTGACACCAAGATAGGACATGGGTGACCAGAGGTGCTGTTGAAAGGTAGGACAGGCCAGGGCCTACTAGAGGGACACACTGGAGGGGCCAGAGAAGCACAAGTGGCCACACAGCTGTTCCTGACACTTGGCCCAGCCACAAGCATCTGCTGGCCACCCTTGGCCACTTGAAAGGGACCTCGTCTCTGTCTTTCAGGAGTTTATTCGCGAGGGCTGCCTTCACAAGCTCACCAAGAAGGGCCTGCAGCAGAGGATGTTTTTTCTGGTAGGTTCTGTCTCCCACTCAAGCTATACTCCCGCTGAAGGGGATGAGTAGCACATTGGCAGCCTCTTAGTCTTTGTGCAGCTCAACACCTGGGACTCTGGCCCAGGTGATGCCCAAATGGGTGACATCAGTGTCAGACAGGAGTCAGGAGAGGATCTCAGAGCAGGACAAGCAGAAAACAGCCATTGTACCTACCCTTGGGCAGCTTCCTTCTCCATTCCAAGTTCTGGGCACCTGACTTTGGGAAGAACAGAAGCCAAGAAACTTAAAAGTCCACATTCGTGTGGCTGCTGGAATGTTCTGTAGAATGTTAGGAGAATCTCACTGCTGGCCCAGAGGCACCTCCCAGTATGTCCTTGTACCCATCAGGTCACCTTTAGTCAACTCCCTTCCTAGTCTCCATTGTTTGGATCCAATTAGTGGGTTCCAGCCTGAACTATCTGGTTAAGGATGTAACTGAGTCAGCGCCAACCAGAATTCCTTACTGCTTCCAACTGGTCAACCAGGCCAGCTGGTGGGGCTCATGGCTGGCCCAACAGATCAGCTGGTTCCTGTGGTTACTTCTTACCTCTGGTCAAAAATGATCAAATGGTGAAAAAAAATCCCTTTTTGGGGGGACCAAAAGTCTCCAACAAGACGAATAGATCCAATAACCACATAACAGGTAGCTAGAGTCTAGGTTGATGTCACGATTAAGGCATTGAATCTTTGTCACTTGTTTTTAAAATTCATGTATTTAAAGCTTGCCATTTCTCAGTTCTCAGACATGTTGCTGTATACAAGCAAAGGTGTTGCGGGGACCAGCCACTTCCGGATCCGGGGCCTTCTTCCACTCCGAGGCATGCTGGTGAGTGACCAGGGCCCTGCCTAGGGTTTCAACTTAGTGCTGGGCCCTGCCCACCTTCCTCCTGAGGAGTTGAATCCAAACCCGGCTATGAATGGCCACACTGGGAGCAGCACCTGCTGGGCATTTCTTGTTGATTGTTTCAACCCCATATGACCATGGTCCCTGTTGATGCTCAGACTGCCCCATCTCTAGCCTGCGATGCCTTTCCAGGTCAGCCTCAGGGTCCCTTAGACTCAGCAGCAGCTTCCTTCTCAGGCTGTGTTGTGTGTATGACTCATTCACAGGATCTTGTGTGGCTCCAGTGAGCCTGTTCACCTGGGATGGAATCCTGTCACTTGAATAGGCATAAGCTTTGTGTTTCCCCCCTAGGGAGCTGGACACAGGAGCCATTGGTGCTTCCGTGAGCCCTCTGACCCATGTGGGCATACACCTGGAATGGGGGCAGAAATTCTTCATTTTAGCATGATCCAGTTTATCAGCCTTGTCCTCTGTGGTTAGTGCTTTTTGTGGTTAATGAAAATACTGTTCTGAGGTCACGGAGAGACAGACTTACACAGACCTAGAGGCTCTCTCCATTTGCCTCATGTGTGTCCCTGGACCAGGCCCGGCACAGTAAAGACACGAGGCAAAGTCCAGGTCTTTCCCTAAGGATGTGCAATTGGTCAAGGATGCCTTATTGCAGTGACAGTCTCTCCCCACATCCCTGCCAGGCCTGCCGCTCAGATGTCCATGTGCAGGAAGTCTGATCCTTGACTCTGCCCTTTCCCTCTTGGTCCATTTGCCTTGATGACTGAAGCACAGTAGTCCCCTTCCCTGAAGTTCTCCTGACTTGTGATTTTCCCTTCCTGAGGTCCCCCTCCCTGAGCGCCTCCCTACCTGTGGCCTTCCCTCTCCATTGTCTTCCCTCCCTGAGGGCCTCCCTCCCTATGGTCTTTCCCCACAGTGGTCATTCCTCCCTGAGGTCCTCTCCCCTGTGGTCATCCCTCCCTGAGACCCTCCCGCCCTCTGATCATCTCTCTGAGGTCCCCCATCCATGTGATCTTCCCTCTCTGGAGCCCTCTCCCCAGTCCTTCTTCAAGGGTTCAGCCAGTGAGCATCGATGCCATCAAGCAGGTGTTTGTAATTTGAGTTCACTTTTCTGGTTGTCAGTAGGTGGAGGTGGGTCTGAGTGACCTCATCTGCCATCAGTGAAAGTGGACCCCATTTGTTTGAAAGTATACCCTTAAAAAATACACTTTTATTATAGAAAAAAATTATTGACAGTGTAAAATAGAAATCACTCATCATTTTACCACCCAGTAATGGCAGCTGCAGGCACTCTTCAGGACAGACCTCAGGTTTCCTGTGTGTCACCAGAGCAAGAATCACCTTCTACAGGCTGTCTTGTCACAGACACTGTTTTTGCTTAGCAGTTTGTTACCTCACCCTCACGTCCCTTGTGCTTCTCATGTGGAGTGAGACAAGTGGTGGACTGGGGAGCCCCTATTCACTTAATAGGAGCCCCTATTCCACCTATCGCTGGACGTTAGGCTGCATTTGGTTGTTGACGGTTATAAATAACACTGCAGGGCTTGTCTTACTGCACATCCTTAATTATGTCCTTCAGATCTTCCAAACTGTGAATTTGAGCACAGGATGCACTTGTGTTTATGGGTTCCAGTGCTCCAGCCAAATCACTGTTGGGACAACTTAAGTGGCAGACCAGCCCAGTAACTAGGTCTGAACATGCCATGGAAAGTACTGGGTATCCATTCCTTTTATTGTTCCCAGTTTGTTGAGCCGAGCAGCCCATCGTTTCACTTTGCATCCCTTTGCCCTGTCAGTGAGGACTGCCTGGCTCCTGTGTCCTGGCATTCTTTTTTTAGAGTTGGAGTCTCACTCTGTTGCCCAGACTGGAGTGCAGTGGCCGTTCCCGGCCACTGCAGCCTCAACCTGCTGGGCTCCAGCGATCCTTCCGCCTCAACCTTCCTAGTAGCCGGAATTACAGGCATGCGCTACCACGCCTGGCTGATTTATTTATTTATTGTAGACATGAGGTCTCGCCAAGTTGCCCCAGGTGGGTCTCGAACCCGCGGGCTCAGGCAGTCCACTCACCTCAGCCTCCCAAGGCGCGGGATTACAGGCTGAGCTACAGATCCCAGTGTGTCCTGGCATTCTTTGCTTGGGAATCACTCAGCCTGCCTCTTGCTCTGGTCTCCCTTGGTCTGTGAGTTTTTTGTATACATTTGTGACCTTTATATAGTAAAAATGTGAGCCAACCCTTTAAGGACACAAATACTTTTGCCAGTCATTTCCTTTTTACCATGCCTGCAATTTGTTTTTTTTTTCCTTGTAGAATTAAAACTCCATCTTGATGAGGCTTGTGTTTATCTTACTCTAGAATGGCATCTGGCCCGGGGGGTGGGGGGGCACCCACCAAATGCCTGTTGAAGGAGTAAATGTAGACATTTGTGTCTACAGATACTCCTCGACATATAGATGGGGCTACATCCTGATAAACCCGCTGAAAATATCAAGGCCAGTTGCAATGGCTCAAGCCTGTAATCCCAGCACTTTGGAAGGCCGAGGCGAGAGGACTGCCTGAGCTCAGGGGTTCAAGACCAGCCTGGGCAACATGATGAGACCTCATCTCTACAATATATCAAAAAATTAGCTGGGCGTGGTAGCACACACCTGTAGTTACAGCTACTTGGAAGGCTGAGGCGGAAGGATCACCTGAGCCCAGTAGATTGATGCTGGGGCAGCCCTGAGTGTGCCACTGCACTCCAGCCTGGGCGACAGAGTGAGACTCTGACTCAAAAAAAAATCAAGAGTTGAAAATATTTAATAGCTGGGCGGGCTCGGTGGCTCAGCCTGTAATCCTGCGCCTTTTGGAGGTTGAGGTGAATGAATTGCCTGAGCCCATGAGTTCGAGATCCACCTGGGCAACTTGGCGAGACCTCATCTCTACAATAAATCAAAAATTAGCCAGACGTGGTAGCGTGCACCTGTAGTTCCAGCTACTTGGAAGGCTGAGGCGGAAGGATCGCCGGAGCACAGCAGGGCGAGGCTGCGGTGGCCGGGAGCAGCCACTGCACTCCAGTCTGGGCGACAGAGTGAGACTCCAACTCAAAAAAAAAGAAAAAAGAAAATACATTTAATACACCTAAGCTACTTCATAGCTTAGCCTTACCTACCTTAAATGTGCTCAGAACACTTACATTAGCCTATAGGAAGGCAAAAATCACCTGACGCAAAGCCTATTTTATAATAAAGTGTTGAATATTTCATGTAATGTATTAAATACTGTACTGGAAATGAAAAACAGAATGGTTGTATGAGTACTCAAAGTGCAGTTTCTATTGAATGCATATTGCTTTCACTTCATTATAAAGTTAAAAAATCTTTAAGTCAGGTACCATCTGGGGACAGCGTGAACTGTCTTTTCCTTCAGGGTTTCTCTCCTTTGTATGGGCTCAGGAAGTTCTCTTCATGTCAAGATTTTACTGGCACCTTTTTTATGGTTTCATTTTCCCGTTTAATTAATCTGCCTAGAATTTGTTTTGATAGATGTTATTAGATCGGGATGTAATATTTTCTCACCATTAGTCATTTTACCCCATTATTTGTTGATTCCTTCATTTTCTCACTTATCTCAAAGACTGCCTTTATGGAAAAAACTCCTGACTTTGCACTTGGGTTCTTTCTGAGTGTTCTCCATTCCTCCCTTGCCCAGCATGAGTCCACACTCTCTTAACTAGTGATGTTGTATGAGACAGCCACTGTGTAGATGAATACATTCCATCCCTTATTCGTTCTCCTTTTAAAAATGTCCTTTAGTTTGGGTGCAGTGGCTAATGCCTGTTGCAGAGAGCTGATTGCTCCTCTGCACTCCATCCTGGGCAACAGAGTGAGACCCTGGCAGAGGAAGGGGAGGAAAAAAAAGGAAGGGGAAGAAAGGAGAGAGGAGGGTAGGGTAGGTTAGGAAAGGAAGGAAGTTCTTTGTTATTCTCCAACATTTAATTCTTCCAAGTAAACTTTGTTTGCTTTTTAAAAAAATATATTTATTACAAAGTTATGGGTACAAGTGAGGATTAACCACATAAGTAGGCTGCATGCAGGTGAAGTTTGGGCTTTTAACTGGCCCTCACTCTCCCCAGTAGTGGACCAGGTACCCTCTGTGTTGTCCAAGTAAACTTTGAAATCACTAAACAAATTCCTTCCAAAAACTTCATTAGGATTTCAATTGAAATTTCATTAAATTTGTAAGTCAAGACTAACGTCTTGACAACATTTTGCTAGCCCTTGTTTGTGATAATTCAGATCTTTGATGTCCAGCATGAGGTTCTGTGGTTGATGTCTCATGGAGCTGCACAGGGAACCTGTCCATTCTCTGGGGTCGTTGGTAATTGGCTGGTCCTGAAGGTGAACAGCTGACCCCTGTTCCTGACTGCAGAGGGATGAGGGCTCTTAGCTTGAGAAAGATCATCTTTATCATGTTAACGTTTTCCTTATATTTGATTTTAGCAAAGATGCTTTAGTGAAGGCGTTTTCAGCATGTGGAGAAATGACCACCTTTTTCTCTGAGTTCTGATAGGATGAATTTTACTAACCAGCTTTCTAACATTGAGCCACCCCTGCATTCCTAGAATTGATCATAGGACAATTCTTTGTGTTTGCTTTTCGTGGGTTTTCATCTAACCACCTATGACTAAGATTAGTCTGTAATGGGGTTTCTTTGAATCTGACTTCATTAGGTTTTGGTACCAGGTTTGTAAATGAATTGCCTAACTTCCTTTTTCATAATGAAAATGCTCAACATTTTCTCCTTTGCTTGATTTTCAGCTAATAGTGTTGGACCCCCCGGTGAGTAGTTGGATGCTCTCTGGCCCATGGCTCGCACCCTAGGTGTCAGCTGCCATGGCATGGGGACACCAGCATCTACCTGTAGCCTCCTGTAGAGTCAGCATAGACTTGGACAGCACGGGACTTCCAAGTCACACCTAGTATTGCAGGCAATCACCTTGTGTCATGCTCAGGTTTGGGCTTCACCAGCTCCTTCCTCGTCACAAGACTTCTACCTCTTCTCCCATTCACAGGTAGAGGAAAGTGAGGACGAGTGGTCTGTTCCACACTGTTTCACCATCTATGCGGCTCAGAAAACAATGGTGGTGGCAGCCAGGTAAAAGTCTCCTGTATCTCCATCCTGAACAGGTCCTGGGTGCAGGGCTCGGGACTTTTTGTTATGATCCTCTCAGTCCTCTGAGTCATGAGGTGATGAAGCCTCACAGGGGCATGGCTCCTTCACTCTGAGCTCTTCTTCCAAGTCGTGCAACCAAAGGAGCAGCCTCTGCCTTGTCGGGGCAAAGAGTACTTGCTGACCTTTGACAATATCCCATAGAGACGTGGTATTGCTGAGCTGCTCCCCATGCCCTCAGGTTCACAGCGCCTCCAAGGACAGGGTGGGAGAGTGGGCAGGCTCCTGTGGTGGGCTGTCTCTTCCTGCTGCTCCCGCTGAAGGAGCCACACTTCCAGCCATCCTCTGGACCCACAGGACCGGACAGAACAGAATGAGGGGGCATAGGTGCCCTGACTCGTTGCCCTCCCCTGAGGGCTGGACGCTCCATGTCAGGAAGTTGGGAGCCAACTCTGAGCCTCAGCCCTTCTCCCACAGCACTCGGCTGGAAAAAGAGAAGTGGATGCTTGACCTGAATGCCGCGATCCAAGCAGCCAAGAGCAGCAGTGACACATCCCCTGCGCTGCCAGGCAGCACCATGTGTACTCATCCCTCCAGTGAGTTCTGGGCACGCCCCCCAGGACATCCCCAGGGCACCCAAGGCTTTTCTGGAAATTGTTTTCCTTGGTCACGGTCGATTCGCTGAACTCCCACATACTCCGCTTCCACAAGTAACATTCCAGGTTATGCTCTAAGCCCAGGCAGAAAAGGGTCCTCATGCTGCTCTGACAGAAGGATCACATAAGTTTTGCTTGCAGCTGGTGGCTGGCCTGGGATCTAAGTATTTCCCACTTTCCGGAGCCATCCTGGAAGAGCCCGAAGGGTGGAAGTGCCTGGCGAGCATATGATCCAGGGAGTCCCCTGCTGTGTTAGATGCTGATTTCTCCCACAGGATCCTCCAATGAGGTCTCTCTGGAGCAGGAGTCAGAAGAAGATGCTCGGGGCACTCGCAGCTCCCCGGAGGGACAGGGCCAGCACCGGGCTAACACCACGATGCACGTGTGCTGGTACCGGAACACCAGTGTGTCCAGGGCTGACCATAGTGCAGCTGTCGAGGTACGGCTGCATGAGCACTGCCTCAGCTCATCTAGAAGTTTCCCAGCCCTCTATGCATGACGGGCTGCTGAGGAGGGGGCCTCAGGAGAGTCCCAGCAAGTAGGGGTGGCCCCCAGCAAGCTGCTTCCAGCTCTGTTCTTGGTAGCAGTACGGAAAGTCCCCCCATCCCCTCCTTGATAAAAGGTGATTTCACCTTAGATCTATGTATCTGGTGTCCCTTGTGAAGTCCAGGCAGACACAGACATCCTCAGGGTGTTTGTGGTAGAGGTCACTGAGTAAAGCTCTCCTGGGCACATGCCCCATGGCCCTTCACCGCAGGCTTTGGGCTCTGCCCACACACCTTCTCCCAGGGCGATCAGCAGTCTTGCTGCATGGGCCCCTACCTGCCTTCATGGAACTCCAGGTTCCTCAGCCTCGTACCTTCACATACCCTCAAGTCTGCTCTCTTCATCCACTCCAAATTCCCATCCTTCTTGCTACATCTCCAGAATCTCCACCTCACCCTGCTGGGCAGAGACCAAGAGGCTACTTACTCACCCAGTGCCATCTATGTGAAAAGAGGAGTCCTCATGAAGGGGCTGAGCCCAAGTGTCCCTCTTGGTGACCCTGTGTGAGTCAGGATACAGCAGGTTCTGACGTAGGCTCACCAGCTTGTTATTGGCCCAGAACACCTGCAGATCAGAGCAGGGTGCTAGCAGGACACCCCCTCATTTTAGACTGCATGACACTTGAGCACCACCCTGCAGGTGGCAGGCAGAGCAGGCCTGGCCACTCCAGCTCCGAAGTTCACCCCAACCCTGCCAGAGTAGATGTCATACACTCAGGGTCAAGGGTTGGAGTGGTGAGTCTTGAGTACACATGCATTTACTTGCCTCTGCCTCTCCCCAATTAGAACACTGACTTATTACGTAGAAGGAAAAGAAATTCAGTGCCATTTTACTTAGTGCCCAGGACGTCACTCTCTAGGTTAACATGCTTGCACTAGGTTCTCAGTGTTGATAAACAGTGTTGATGCAAGAAGCTGCTGTCCACAGCAATGCAGAGGTACACTAAGGCCCAAGCCAGAGTAAGCCTGTAGGTGGGTGTCTTGGGGAGCAGAACCCTCTCAGAAGACCCCAGGGGACGTGGCTGGGGTCTTGGGTGCCATCTAGTGTACCTGTGCCTTTGCTTTGCTTTATCAACAGAACCAGCTTTCAGGATATCTGCTGAGAAAGTTCAAGAATAGTCATGGCTGGCAGAAACTCTGGGTGGTCTTTACCAACTTTTGTTTATTCTTCTACAAAACTCACCAGGTATGGGTACGCTGCTGAAGCCACAAACATGAGTGGCATTGACACACACTTTACTTGCCTGTGTCTTCTATTTTGGTTCTGAAGTCAGGGGTCATGCTCTTTCCTTTCCCACTCGCCCAATGCCATCTATGTGAAAAGGGGAGTCGGCTCCCTTACTCTATGGGTCCATCTATAGGGGCCGCTGTTGTGTAGGACGAGCCAGAAGCATCTGGGGAAGAGCCAGGGACTTCCGGAGGCAAAGCGATAAGGCATCGGTCAGGGTGGGCCCACATCCCAGCCTCTGGAAACTCATGTCTGTGTGCTGTCTTCCAGGACGACTACCCTCTGGCCAGCCTTCCGCTGCTGGGCTACACTGTGAGTGTTCCCAGGGAGACTGATGGCATCCACAAAGACTATGTTTTCAAGCTTCAGTTCAAATCTCATGTCTACTTCTTCCGGGCAGAGAGCAAGTACACATTTGAGAGGTAATTTTGCCGCAGGCAGCCCTGGTCTGCTGCCCAGGTTGAAGTAGTACCCTGAGGGATGCCGGTGTCTCCTCAGTTCCCCTGCTTCCACTTGTGGAGTTGAAGGCAAATTTCCTGGGTGCTGGAGAGGAAGGGCTGAGTAATGCTCCCAGAGTTTTCAATGACCCCTTGTTATGTCCCATTCACCTCCTATATTGGGTCATCCTTGGAAAGATATATGAGCACAAGCCCACCCTCTCCTCCAGGTGGATGGAGGTGATTGAAGGGGCCAGCAGCTCACCTGGGAGGCCCCCGAGCCTCGTGCAGGACTGCCCACGGCCCTCCTCAGGGCTGGAAGGGCAGTCGGGGAAGGAGGAATGAAGCTCATCCGCCCAGGTGAGGACACACCATGGAGAACCAGAAGGCATGAAGGCAGCCATTGTCCTCACCAAGCTGAGGAACCGGAGCAGCCGCTTGTCCTGAGTCTTCTAACAGGCAGGAGGCAGCTGTGGCCTTGCTGGGTCCCCATCGACACCAAGTGTGGGTGGGCTTCACATGACATCTGAGAGGGACTTTGTCCATTCTCAAGACCCAGCACAGATCTGGGGCACTGGGAAGGACATCAGGTCTCAAATGGGGAGCCACAGGTCCCTGGCTCAAAGGCCATGGGCAGGACCTGAGCTGTGCTCTGGGCATTGGACCAAAGCTAGGCTCACCCTGCCCTCTCCTCTTCCCAGATCAAGGGCCCACTAAGGACTGGCCTAGAACAAGAACTGGGGCAGGCAGCCCCTGAACCATCCTCACAATGCCCACCACCAGAGCTCCTCTCAAGCACTCACTCTCCTCTGGTCCCAGGAAGGCTAGAGCCTCGCAATGCCCAGCCATCCTAACTTTTCCTCTGGGTGAACCAAGTGGCAGCCCCAGCAGCCTGGCCTTCGGGTCACAGCTAAATGAGTCTGGCAGAAGCCACAGTGGTTCCGACCCTACGTACCTCTGGAGAAGCAGAAACCAAAGTACCCTGTGGTCCCTGGGAGGGTGAGGTCTTCTTAATTTATTATGCCCAGCATTTCTTCCAGGTGGAGACAGATGTCTGACTTTGTTCACACATGTCTCAAAATAAACATCTCCCCACCCACCTGCAAACTCCTCTCTTGTCACTGCTCTCCTTCCAGTAGGCAATGCAGAACCCACAAACCCATCACAGGGCACTCAGAAGGGGGAGTCACTGCCACAGTTACTGCGTGCTGTGATGAACACTCGGGACTGAGGACCCAGGAGCCCTGCCTGGCCTGCATCCCCACACACACCTGCATGTCTCCAATTCAGGTCTTTATTGAACGTCGCAGGGCCTCTCAATGTTCTATGAACACTAACACCTTAACCTCAGAATATTTAAGCAAACAAGTTTGATTTTCTTAAAAAACAAAACATTCTGGATGACACAAGTACTTATGAGCAGACACAGTACCTGATCCAACACCACAAGGCAAATCTACAGCCATCATAGGCCTGGAGGACAGCAGCTAGGTGGGGGAGGACAAGCTGGGCTGCTCCTCTGGGGCTGCCCTGTCACCTGCCCTGGCCTTGTGAGGGAAGAAGAGAGAGCTACCCTGACAGTTGCTCTGCTCCCTGGTCTGGGCAGCCATAGGGCCGTGTGAGTCCACAGAAGGGCCAGGCCTAACTCCTAGGGGACACTTGAGAAACAGGACCACGCCAGCTGCCGAGTGGCTGCAGGGCCATCCATGGGCTCTGCTGCTGGGCATGGCTTCGGCTGGGCCAGGAGGGGAAGGTGGAAACAGATGTATGGAGGCGTCCCCCAAATGTGCAGAACAGCATACTGCCAGGGTAGAAGGAGACTGTGACCTGGCACACGAAGCCTGTGGGCTCTGACGTGTCCTGCGGGCACGACACAGCATGAGGCGCCTTCCAAGTCAGCACAGTTCTTACGGAGCTCATAACAAAAACAAAGGACCTTCTGTCCCTTCTCCATGAACAGCAGCATGCTTCAGCGGGTTGATGTCAGGTGGTTTCTGTTGTGTGAAAACCTGCAAAGGGGAGAAGAGCCCCAGCTGCTGCTCTGGCAGGACCGTGTGCACCTCCACAGCCAGGCCTCTTGAACGCCTCACGTGCATGTAAGTCTGAAGCAGCAGCTATGACAAACAGCACTGCACAGGTTCAAAGGTGGCCCCAATGCACAGAGTCTCAGGAGTAGCATGACTGGCCCAGAGCCCATTCCCAAAAGCCACTGCCCAGGGTTGCTGGGGTGGAGTCTGTGTGTGCAGGCCATGACTCAGAGCCCAGAGAGCAGGGGAGGACCCTACAGCGTGACTGTGGGATGCTGAGCCTGTTAGGCTGTGGACAGTGCCCTGTCCTTTCACCACGGGCATGAGCTGGCACAGGAGCAGCAGCCAGCTGCAGAGAATGGCACTGCTGCACTACTGGGCTGGGGACCCCAGGACACTGCATGAGGCCAAGGGTTGGACCTTCCATGCAGTTAGACAAGAAAGGCCCTGCCCCCTCTCTCCAGCCCCAAAAGTTCCATGGCCATGGGAGCTGGCTCCAAACCAGGAAGAGAATGACATGCCACCCTTCCCAAGGAATGAAGCCAGGACAGTGCCAAACCTGGCCACCCCATGTCCAGCTCTTCCTCAGTGGGGATGATCCCAATTGACCCTGCAGCAGGGCCGCCCTCACCTCTGCACTCGCTCTACCAGGTGCACCATCAGTTTGTCCGAGATGCCAGGGCAGGACTCCTCAGCCAGGCTGAAGGCGTTCTCCAGCTCCTCCAGTGCCCCCACACTCCCACCACTCTGCTTGTGCTTCTCTTTGAGCTGCAGAGAGATAGTGCACACCTGACCATGGGTTCCAGGATGGGCTCTGGGGCAGCCTGCTCCTTCGCTGGCACACGCATGGTCACAAGTCATGCTGGACCAACTATGACCCACATCCAGGAGCCATCCAAGGAGCTGGGAAGTGTCATTACCAAGGCTGCCTCCCCTGCTGATGGGTGACCCCAATGGTCCTTCCACCACAAGTTCCCACCCTCCCTCTGCATTCCAGGAAAGTCTGTGGCCTCGTTCTCAGGACAGGGCCAGAAGGCTTCCTTCCAGATAAAGGTCACAGAAGCAACTGAAAGGGTGCAGCCAGACCTAAAAAACACAAAAGTCCAGAAGCTTGTAGAGTGAACCGCAAAACCAGACTGTCAGCACACAACTCCAATCTGACCCATGGAGCTCTCTGTTAAGGACCCCAAAGCTTCCCATCACTGAGGTGTTACCCACCCTCAGAGGCTGTGGCTAGACCAGCAGGTTGCTTAGTATCTGGGCCCAAGTGTCTCTGCCTTCCACTTGGGCCTCCACACGGGCTGGGGTTACTGCCCCGGCCATCCTCAGGTAAACTCTGCTGTCAGCACATTCACTAATATCCATCCTCCCTTCCTCAGCTCCAGGGGGGCTCCTGGAAATCAAGAATGCATCTCAGCTGCATATTTCTGGGGATGTCACTGGCTACCTGTCAGCAAGTGACACCTGCTGGGTCACATGAATGCCGGGGAGTTACCTTCAGACCTCCCTGCTCTGTACTGACCCCAACATCCATTCTCTGCTTCTTCTCTACAGAAGAGGCATCTACGTGTTAGCACTTTTAAATTTTTGAGTCGGGGTCTCAATCTGTCACCCAGGCTGGAATGCAGTGGCACAATCATGGCTCACTGCAGCCTCGACCTCCTGGACTCAGGCAATCCTTCTACCTCAGCCTCCCAAGTAGCTGGGACTGTAGGCGTGCACTACCACACCCAGCTAATTTTTTTTTTTTTTTTTTTTTGTAGATGAGGTCTTGACAGACAAGGGGGGAACCAAAAAACAGAATTTACAAAAAACTGTACATTTATTCTTACGTGTTTAAATTTCAGTCACCTTCAAATTACTCTCTGATGCAATACACCTATCGAGATGCTTTTTCCATTACTCAAAACAGTTTTTGAACTCATCAATTTTTTTTTTTTGAGTTGGAGTCACCCAGGCTGGAGTGCAGTGGCACACTCACAGCCACCCCAGCAATGACCTGCTCGGATCCGGCAATCCTTCCACCTCAACTTTCCAAGTAGCCAGAACTAGAGGGGCACGCTACCACCCCCAGCTAATTTTTTGATTTATTGTAGAGACGAGGTCTTACTGTGTTGCCCAGGCTGCTCTCAAACCAGCAGGCTCTGGCAATCCACTCATCTCAGCCTCCCAAAGTGCTGGGATCATAGGCTGAGCCACCGAACCCGGCCTGTACTCATCATTCTTGATGCCTTTTTGGTGACCTGAACTCATCAATTTTGATGCCTTTTTAGTGCTTCTGCTGCTGTTTCACTTCTTCCACATCAGCAAAACAGTTCCCTGTGAAGACTTTTTTCATCCAGGGAAATAATAAAAAATCACTTGGGGCAAGATTGAGTAAATAGGGAGGGTGGAGCACAGGGGTCATGCCATCTTTGGTCAAAGATTGCTGAATACTCAGTGCAGTGTGAGCAGGTACACTCGTAAATCACCCATCACAAAATGGGCAAATGTGCTGAAAGAATCTCTAATAATAAATTCACTGACTGAAAACAGCCTTTCACAACAATACTAGTTGGTAGATGCCGATGGGTTCCCAGAACACTTATGTAGTGGGGGAAGCCTGTACTACAAGGGGCCCACCCTCCAAAAGATAACTGTGGTTTTATGGGGATCCCCCTCATATTGCTCAGGCTGGTCTCAAACTCCCAGACTCAAGCAATCTTCCTGCTTCAGTCTCCCGGAGTGTTGGGATTACAGGTGTGAACCACTGCACCTGGTCAATTTTTTTGTTTTGTAGAAACAAGGTCTTATTATGTTGCCCAGGCTAGTCTTGAACTCCTGGGCTCAAGCAATCCTCCTACCTCAGCCTGCTAAAGTGTTGGGATTACAGATATAAGCCACGGCACCCAGCCTAATGTTGGTATTTAAAAAAAAAAACACACAGGAACTCAGCAGATCTGGAACACAAAAGGGTCCTGTTTGGCCAGTTCATCCCAGTGGAGTCTACTCCTTTTACTCAGAAAACAGGCCCACTATCAGCTGCAAATGGAACCCATGGCTCAGGGCTGGCCAATGCATGAGGCACTATGGGCAAGGCGTCTCTGGAACAGTATCAGAGCCCCCACCCCCTACATCACAGAACCCACCCTACTCTCACCTCTCCGAAGACCGGCCGGACCAGTGTAGACAGGCACTGGGACCTCGGCTGCCTCTTGACAGGCTCTGCAGGCTGTGAAGGAAGCCGGGACATGGGGTGAGGGAGGAGCATGGGCAGCAGAGCAGCGTGGGCAGCAGAGCAGCATGGGCAGCAGAGCTGCAGGGCAGCAGCACAACCGTCTCTGCCCCAGGTTTCTGGCTGCCATGAAGGAACTGAGGCTGGGAGCAGCCTGTGGGGTACATGCCCAGGGCTGGTTCCAGAACCACCAGGCGGCCCAGGGAGTCTGAGGACCTGCAACCTCCACGCTTTCTTCCCACAAGGTCAGCTCTGAACAGGCCCCTATCATCCCAGCATGTGCTGTAGCTAGGGGTCTCCATGCCAGGCTCAGGCCCAGGATCATGCTGGAGGTCAGCCCACTCCTTCCCCTTCCTTCTCCTTCCCAAGCTCCTTGTCCAGGCCCTGGACACTGATGGACTAAAGGGAGCCCCACACCCAGCCCACCCTGCAGCCCAGGTGCCTACTGCCCCAGGGGAAGCCATGTTGGCAGGTGCACATGGGGTGGTGGCTCCCAGGGCCCAGCCAGGGACAGACCTTCTGTGAGCCATGCAGGGCTGTCCCCTTGTGCAGCTTGCTGTGTGGACTCGGCCGGATGGTGGGGGGGAACGTCCAGATGGGGCCCTGCTCCCCGTCCTCAGCCTCGCCATCGCTGAAGAGGACCATGAGATACAAGGGCCAGTGAGGGGAAGACTGGGAGGCACAAGGCCCTTGGGGAACAGCTCCTCGTTGGCTTCTGAGGTGGCCTCATGGCCCAAAGAGAGGCCCTAGGTGCCTGCGGGTACGTGCTCTGCAGGGTCCAAGTGACACCACCACAAGCCTATCCTGTGCCCCAAGGGTGCCTTGGCCCAGCCACACATCTGACCACCCCCCAGCACCTGCATCCTTGCCTGTGGAGGGGGAACCCCATGTCAAAGGGCCCAGGGCTACCATGAGGACAAGCAAGGCCCCTACATGTCAGAATCCTCAGAGCTGGATTCCTCGCCATGCCCCTCTGACTTCCAGCGCTTGTAGCGGTCAATGAGCTCCGTGAGGAAAGAGGTCTTCTTGGTGTAGCGCGTGATAAACTTGTGCTTCAGCAGCTCCTTGGCAGTGGGCCGCTGCAGGGAGATGGACACTGGTCACCAGGCACAACTAGCTCTGTCCACAGGGGAGCGGACACAAGGTGGCCTGGGCTGGGAATCTGGAGTGGAGAGGTCCTTACAGTGGGTGGCAACAACTAGGAGTCTGGGACGTCTTGGTCCCTGGGCCATGCTGTCTACCCCAAAGGAATGTCCTCCCCTATAAGGCCCCCAAGAACCTAGCCTGAGGGGTAGGGACCCAGCTGGAAGCAAGTCTTACAAATCGGGGGTCCTTGTTGAGGCAGGCCTCCACAAACTCCTTAAAAGGCTTGCTGTGGTGGCCCTCCAGCGTGGGTGGGCTGTTCTTGGGAATCAGGAACAATACTCGCATGGGGTGAAGGTCAGAGTTCGGTGGCTCCCCTTTGGCCAGTTCAATGGCCGTGATCCCCAAGGACCAGATGTCAGCCTGGACAGAACATATGGATTGTTGTGGCCCTGCTGCAGCACCTGAGCTGGCCACAGCCATGACCATACCTGCCTGCCCACCACACCCACCTTGAAGTCGTAGGCGGACTGCTTGATGACCTCAGGTGCCATCCAGAAGGGGGTGCCCACGAATGTGTTCCTCTTGATCTGTGTGTCCGTGAGCTGCCCCGCCACCCCGAAGTCCGCCAGCTTCACATCACCCTGCTCTGAGAGCAGCACGTTGGCAGCTGCTCGACACAGGACAGGCAGGGGTCATCTTCGGCTCCATGTGGGCCTCACCCTGGGCCCTCTGCAGGCAGCAGCTACCTGAGAAGTGTCAGGGTGCCATCCACCCAGCCTCCTGGGGACACCACAGGGCTGAACCCGGGACCTCAGCCCTTCTTGCCACTCTCTAACCCAGGGCTACTCGGCCATGGGAGAACTGCCAGTAGGAGCCCAGTCTCCCACCACAGCCCAAGCTCCAGGGCCCTCCATGCATTTGACAAATCCTAATAGACTCCCCAATGGGCTCCTGCAGAGATGACTAACCAAGGACGTAGCCAATACGGGCCTGCCAGAATGCCCCTCACTCTGCCAAACTCATCCCCTATGATAGAGATGGCTCAGTGCTCTTGGCAAGTCCCCTCCAGTCAGTGGAACCAGACCATACAGTAGGTCATTCAAACCTACGCCTGATACACTGACATAAGACCACAGGCGAGAAGAAACAGTTCTGGCTTAAATGAGGTCTCTTCCTACACTAGGTGTGCAGCTGGTTTCTTCAGTGTATGGGGAACAGCATCTTCTGGAAACAGCAAGACAGAACTGCTCAGTTTCCAGGTAGCCACAGGGCTCCCCATACCCCAGACCTCAGGTACCACCAGCCACTCAGCCCTCACAGGCCCTGGCCTTTCTAGGATCAGGGGGGCTCAGGATAGGACGGGAGCCATGTCCAGCCTTGTCAGGACCTTTGATGTCTCGGTGGATCTTGCGTTCAGAGTGCAGATAATCCAGGCCCTTCAGAATCTCCCGCAGGATCGTGGCGATGTAGGTCTCCTCCAGGGGGCCCGGTTTAAGCTGGAGAGGAAGGTGGACAGCAGGGCCTCTGCTCCCACCCCATCCCCAATGCCTGAGCGCAACTGCCTCGACAGGGACGGGTGTCCCTGCAGATAGTCAGGGGCTTCCTTTACTTCTCAAACAGAGCTAAGCTTCAGATAATGTGTCGGGTGGGAGTGGGGGTGGCGAAAGCTCTTTCTAGTGCGTGTAAACTCGCTTCATCTTTACTGTAAATATAACAGGAAGACATGGTCCCAGCCAGCCCACAGAGCTTCCCTGCCCCCAGCCTGTTTGCCAGGCACTCACCCCAACCAACTCCCACAGGCTGGCATCCCTTTCAGCACCAACTGGGCAAATGTGTGGACCACAGCTCATTTGTGACTTAGATAATTTCTAATTAACACCTAATTAGCACTATGGCACCAAAGCAGAGGTGGCCCCTGGGAGTCCATGAGTCCGAGGGGTAGTGGGTCCCAGGACACCGCATCCCCAGCAAGCTACCCACTGCTGTGACCTATGCCTCACCAGGTCCAGTGCGGAGCCGCCACCCAGGTACTCCATGATGATCCATAGCTTGGTGCTCTGGGACCGGAGAGAAGCCTATCAGCACTTGGTATGGGGAGGGGGCATGCCCAGGGGTAGGAGTCACAGGCAAGAGTCAGCCAGGGTTCAAGCCACACAGGGAACCCACCGGGGCCATCCCTGCCAGGAACCCCAAACAGGAAAGGGCTCCCACAGCCTCACCCAGCTCACCTCCCACCACACCCCGGCTACAGACGCTCAGAGGACTGAATGCTCAAAGCAGTAGAGAGTCCACTTCTCTAAGACCCTATCCAAAACCAGCCCTGGGACCCAGTCTCACAAGGCCCAGGAAGACAGCATGCTTGGCAAATACATGGCCTGACACACCCACACATCAAGCATTCTCCTAGGCATCTCCCCACATGGTAACCCAGAGTGCTCCTAGTGGTGCCCTTGCAGCTGTCCTACAGGACTACCCCAGCCATAGGAAGCATAGTAGGCAGGCCAGTGGGTCCTATAGCCACTTCAGAGCCAACTGATCCTTTCCTGGAGAGTCTGCTCCATGGTGAAGCTGGGTCAGTGCTCAACTATTAGGGCATCTTTGCCCTTTCAGACCAGGGCCCCTTGCACCCAGCGGCACACTGCCCTGCTCCTCCCCACTGCCCTACCTAGCCAGGGGCCCTCAGACACAGCATTTAGTCTCTCTGAGATGGAGAAGAGGGCCTGGCACGGAGCAAGCAGGCCTTGCACACCCCCACCAGCACCTTCAGGTAGGAGCCAAAGTAACGGGTGATGTAGGGGCTGTCACATTGGCTGAGCACGGTGATCTCCTGCTGGATATCCTCAATCTCATCCTCGGCCTCTTCCAGGTCGATGATCTTGATGGCCACCACCTCCTTGGTGTGGTTGTCGATGCCCTTGTACACCTCCCCGAATGAGCCCTTGCCAATGCGGTCGAGCTTGGTGAAGAGTTCTTCAGGGTCCACTCGAGAATGCTACAGGGGCCGATAGGGGCAAAAGAGAGCAGGGACAGAGAGCAGGGACAGAGAACAGGGACAGAGAGCATGCAGCACCCAGTCAGGAGATGTGCTGGACAAGTAGAGGCCAACCTAACGGAGGGGGTACTCACAAGCAAGGAGGAACCCAAGGGAGCATGCCTACATTCTTTTCTGATTTCTTCTTTTAACACTTTTTGTTCAGAAAACCTAAACATAACTCTCCATGCAAAGAAGAAAGTCCCCAGAGAACTGAAAGAGACCAGGGTTCTGGCTGACACAGTGAACCCTGATGGGAATCATGGCCTTAGGTAATGACAAGATAGTACCGGTCAGGTGTAATAATGTCCCACCTGATGTTAACAGTAGGTTAATGCCCCTGGGAGGTGAAGGGTATTTGGTAGCTCTTACTTATTTCGCTATAAACCTGAAATTGCTCTAAAAAATAAACTCTATTAAAAACAAAAAGCCCAGCATGTGTTACCCAAGTTCTCCTGCACTCCTGAAGCCAAAACCCTTAGAAAGGGCTTTCCCCACCCCAAATCAGTCCCACACTCTCACGCCAGTACTGAGTTGAAAACCAATGCTTTCTCGATGCAGAAAGTTGCCCTACACAGGCCTCAGACTTAAACAAACAAGGCCTGAAACTTACTGAGCAACCAGTGTGGATGGTGCTTGATCCTCAGCCCAGGGCACCCCAAGTGTCAGGACAAAGCAGCAGAGGTATGCCCCCAGTCTCTACCCATATTCCTGACTTTGGGCCAGCTCTCCCAGCAGGGCTGCTGCAGGGCATCAGAGGCTAAGCCTAGAAAGCTGGCAACACCAGAGCACCTCCCTGGGCCAGGGCCACCCTGAGTCACCTCCAGCTCCTACAGATGAGACTTTCTGAGGACCCCATGCTCCCCCCCAAGAACTGATGTACTGCATTCTCAGAAATTCTAGGGTGACAAGAGGACAGGACAGAGAGCCAGCCTACCCAAGGACCCTTTGTGGTCCTGGGCAGGGCTTGTGCAAGAGCTGATGATGAGAGCCCAAGTCTTGTCCAGACACAGGCAAAAAAGGGTTTCCCAAGCCCTGCCAGTGTTACCTACACCAAGAAATACTTTCCCCCAAAGAGGCCATTCCCCCAGGACAGCATATTGATGCCAATTTAATGTGACCAAGCATAAAAAGGCAAAACCACAACTTGTTACGGACACAAATGCTGACCACTCTGGTGGCCAACTCATCCTGGTGCTGAAGGCAAGGCCCGTCCCAGGGTGTGCTTTCCCCAGGGTGGGCCCATCCCACATCCCATCCCACATCCCATCCCACATCCCATCCCTCCACACTCCTGGGGAGGAGACCGTGTCCTCCAAGAATGGACACAGAGCACCATACGAGGCCCTTACGCTCACCCTGTGGACACTTGTGTGCTGGGGCCATCTAGGCCCACACTCAGCCAGAGCCCACTGGACATCATTCCAGTCTGACATTTCAATGTGAGACTGATTGCAAACCAGCTGCCTTCCCAGGGTTTGTAACCAGGAGGGAGGGAGGCAGAGGTGGCACACAGGCCCACATCTCAACACCCAACATCTTTCTGAGCACCAGGCCCCAAGATGACAGGAACTTTGGAGGCATAGAGGTGACTGGGGGGAGGGCCAGGGGACAAGGCAGCATCTCAACAGAGGCCACCTAATCCTCCTACACAGGCTGGCTTGGCAAGGCCTGGGGATACATGGCAGCCTCCGTGCAGTGGCCCAAGCAGGCCAGCAGCAGTGCCCACACGTACCTGGCTCAGTCCAGAGGTTTGGCCACCTAAGGGAGAAACGGCCAGTCCAGCCTCAAGTGACCCTTGTCACTTCCTCACTAGAACCAGCTGCCCAGTCCTAAAGCCAGTATCCATGGGGGAGACAGTAGGTGGTGGTTAGAACTGCCAGGAAGGACCAAAGCCAAGGCCGAGGGACTCATCCAGACAGTTTTAGAAAGCTGAGTGCCACCCGGGGTCCTTCAGGCCACACTGGTCGAGGTGAGCTGCATCTGCCCCCAGTCTGGCCACTCCTGCTGGTCAGGCACTTTAAAGAGAAGTCAAGAAAAATCACTGGAGTGTGGCTGACAAGTCACAACTGCTCAGCTGTTTCCAGGTTGAGGGGTGGGACGCACAGATCAGATGATCAGAATCAGCCCCTTCTGAAACCCCAACCTGGAACGTATGATTTCTCTTTTTTCTTTTGAATCAGTAGTCTGTAGACATGGTCTGGACAATCACCCAGAACACTCAACTGACTGACATCAAGACCCTCTGTTCTCCAAATCAGCCCTAGGGCTGCCAGGTCTGGGACCACCACCTGCCAATATGTCTGCTATTAGCGTTGCCCCATAAAATAAGGGAAGTAACCCAGCACACACAGTCGAAATGTCTCCAATCACCATCCAATAGGCAACAGCTGAATGAGGACACAGTGCTCTGGTACCCCACAATCATTCAGACCCCCTAGGGCTGGGCAGGAACTGGCCAGGTGGAAGGGTTTAGTCCACAGCAGAAGCACAGGCTGGAGTATACCCCACTATGCCACAAGGAGACTGACCCACAGGGCCATAGGACACCATGGCAACCATTTCAAGAGAAAACAGCCCCATCAAGTTTCCTGCCACTGTCTAGTCTCTCACCATCCAGGCTAGACAAAGGGGCCCTTAAGAGGACAAAGGGTGCTTCCTACTTTTGGGGTCCCTTACTCAGTGTCCCTGCACTCCCTCCCCTGGGTCTGATCAGACCAAGAACCATCAGCACACAGTTACATGGCAGCTCATAGCTCCAATTTCTCATTTCGTGATCCACATGAACTATTCCTGCAGGGTTTATTTGAATCGGAGTCTCACTCTGTTGCCCAGACTGGAGTGCTGTGGCACACTTACAGCCACCGCAGCCTCAATCTGCTAGGTTCAGGTAATCCTTCTCCCTCAGCCTCCAAGTAGCTGAAACTACAGGCACATGCCACCATGCCCAGCAAATGATTTCCTTGATTTATTGTAGAGACAAGATCTTGCCATGTTGCCCAGGCTGGTCTCGAATGTGGGCTCAGGCAATACTCTCACCTCAGCCTCCCAAAGTGCTGGGATAACAGGTGTGAGCCACCACACCTGGCTATTCCTGCAGTTCTTAAAAATAAACTGAAGGCATTTTTCTCTTCCAGCACCATAGTCATATAAGTTCCAGACACAAAATGCCAAAAACAAAGAAAAATCTGTTAGCTTATTTCAGCATCTGTCAGCAAGCCCCAGTCCCCATCTGTGACCACGGCTGGTCCAGGATGCCCTGCCCAACAGCTGCACATAGTGTCCCGGGTTTCCAGGCTGGCCCGGTTTCCTCTAAGGAGCCCTGACTCCAGTTCCTGCCCCCATGCAGACGGACGTGCTTCCTGTCCCACCACACGCCCAGCTCTCAAGGATTCAGCACACAGGAATGAATGTACAGGGAGGGCTACACTGTCCTCAAAGGAGATCCCAATACCTTTCAGCAGTCAGCCTAAAGCCTGCCCCCAGCCAAGGTGTTAACAGCAAAACCAGTTAGGATGCAGGAAAACCCAGTAAACAAAGCATTCCCTCTACTTCGCTATCCTCTTCAGATCACATTTGTTTTAAAATAATAATAATAAAAAGGCAAGGGAGAGCTAAATGTAAGTTTCCCCAGAGTGGCTGCCCCCACCCTCCATCTCTGGCATGCCCCGCAGCACCAGCAGCTGGTTCTCATTCCAGGCAAACATTGCGAGGGCTCATTGTAGTGGGTCCCTCCAAGTCACTGGTTAACACACAGGACCCTTCAAGGTAGTTCCATGGTGGGAATTACAAGAACTAGTTAAGCAAAGACACTGGCATCCTCTTCCAGGCAAGAGCTTGGAGCTGGGTTAAACAGGTTATGCACAGAGCAGATTTCTCCTCTTCCCTCGGCAAAAGCAAACACGTTCTTTGCTTTCCCTGCACACCAACTTACACAGATCAGCTTGATCACATTCCCAGCCCTTTAGTTGCCCCCTACAGCCCCTGCACCAGCACAATATGGTCAGAATGACCAGTGGCCCAGGCCCAGGCTGCAGTGTGGACCCTGACCTTCCTCACATGCCTTCAAATGCTGAGATGCAGGCTCCGCGGGGTTCCCACCCAAGTCATCCCCCTGGCCCAATGCTGGGAGCAGCATCCTGTCCCTGAGATAAGGCATCTGTCTCTTCACAAACCTCCACCACCCTGAAAGAGAGAAAACCACCCCTGGGGCTTTATTTTAAGAAGCCTGTGGTCTTCTGCCACACAAAAAGCCACAGGCACACGGCACAGCCCCAGTCACCACCGCGTCGCCCCCTGCCCACAGATGCGCGCTCCTTCCTTCACCCCACGTCCCTCCAACCTGATACCGCCCCTCAAAGACCCAGGATGGTTTTCAAGCGATACTCCTCGGGCAACGAGCATGGACCTTCCGGGTCAGCACTGGTTCTGGGATTCTGCATCACTCCAGTCGCGGGGGACGCTGGGCGCGGGAGCCAAGTCTCACCTGGTTGGCAAATCCCCTGAGGTGAGCCATGGCCGCGCTACCCTCAGACCATCCGTCTGCAGCTTCAGAAGGCGTATGGATCCCGCCGGGAGGCTCGGAACCCGTTCGCTCGCGCTGCTCGCGTCAGTCCACTAGGAAGGAACGGAGGCCCGCTCAAGTGCCCATTCGGTCACCTGGGAACGATCTCCGGGGCGGCAGGCAGGAAACGCGAGGTCCCCGGGGAGACCCCCATGGCCGCCCCGCCCGGGCCAAACGCCCAGGCGCCCCCAGGGCTCACTGCCCCTCCCACCTCCGCCCCCGGCCCCGACCTCTCTAGAGGTTCGCTTCCTCCTGGAGCCCTCGCCCCGGTCCCCTACCGTCCCAGCCCCGCCCCAGGCCCTCCCTCCGCCCCCTCCCTCAACCCAACCGCCCCAGGCGCAGCCCCGCCCGGCAGCGCGCCCACCTCCGAGGGGCTCCATCCCGGCCTCCCCCGGCCCGCTCCGCAGCGCCCGCGAAGGCTCCCACCCGCAGCCCCCGTTCGCCCCGGGGAGCCGGGCCTTCCAGCCCGTGAAGCAGCGGCAGCGGCGGCGGCGGCGGCTGGAAAAAGTCCGGCGGCAGCGACGGCGAAGGAGGGGCGCGG